AGAATTGAGTAGGGAGATGGGATTTGTTGAGCATTGATCGAGCAGCCTCAATGATTGTTTGATTTCGTCTTTTAGAGACCCCATCCTATTGAGGAGTTCTCACTGAAGAAAAGTTGTAAGAGATTCCCTTGTCCTCAAAGAAGTTATCCATAGTACTGTTTTTTAATTCAGTGCCATGGTCTCTTCTGATAGATCGTACTTCAACATTGTTTAGTACTTCTATCTTTTTGATGAACGAAATGATTTCTTCAGGTGCTTCATCCTTGGATCTGAGAAAGAATACCCAAGTATACCTGACATACTCATCAACAATGACGAGTGTGAACTTCTTTCCAGCTAGGGATTGCACGTTGACTGGACCAAAGAGATCCATATGCAATAGCTGAAGTGGCGCAGTCACTGAAGAGATTTGCTTCGACTTGAAGCTAGCTCTTATATGTTTTCCTTTTTCACATGCTGAGCAAAGAGATTCCTTTACAAACGAATGTTGAGGAACACCAGTGACGAGATCATTTCTTGACAGCTTACTGAGTGTCTTGAAGTTGAGATGAGATAGCCGTTTGTACCATAACCAGTTAATATCTGACGAGGCTTCAGAGAAGAAGCAGCTATTCTCGGTGAGAGAAGAATTCATATTGATGATGTATACATTCTCTAGACGAGAACCGGTTAGAGCAACCGTATCATCTTTTCAAGAACATGACATGAATTCTTTGATAATTTAACTATATAATCTTTATCACACAGTTGACTGATGCTAAGAAGATTGTGCTTTAGACCTTCAACATATGCAACGTGTTTAAAAGTTGTTGCACCATTGGTTAATATACCAAAACCTTTGGTATATCCTTTTCCATTTCCACCGAAGGTTACGGAAGGTCCTCTTTCWTCCTTGAAATGAGTTAGAAGGGATTTATCTCCAGTCATATGTCTTGAACATCCGCTATCAAGATACCATATGCCTTTTACATCCTGTACAAGGAAACAAAATAAGAATGCTATTGGTACCCAGCTATTGGGGTCCAGCTTTGTTAGAGGCTTTATCATATGATGCTGAAGAACCAGCATCAGTAGATGGCATCACCGAACCTGAAGAGGTTTGAGTGGAAAAAAAAACAACCTCTGACACTACTAAGGTAGTTTCAGTGGAAGTCCTCACTGAGCCTGACAAAGAGGCTTCAGTGGTAGGAACTACAACGTCTTATGCTGAAGATTTTTCAGCAGGAGTTGTCTTCGTTGAGCCTGAAGAAGAGGCTTCAACGGTTTTCTTATATCGCACGATAAAGGCTTTTGTCCTAGATTTATCGTGTGAAGTCTTCTGCGGTATATTGGTTTATCGCATAAGCTTGGTGTGATATATAAGTACATCGTATAAACTTCCTGCGATATATAGGAGCCTGCGATAGTTGCATATATTACACAACATTGTGTGTGATATAGGGTGTGTGGTATGCGATAGTCGACTTTTTGGGTGGGATAGTTGACTTATTGGTTCCAAGTTTGACTTTTGGATTATTTCAAATCATTTTGTTTACGATCATTTCAAGTATATGACAATGTCTTCAAGAGAGACCATGGCAATTTGATCTAACAGAAAACCATCAATTTTATTTTGTGGGGATTATTATTAGTGGAAGGATAGATTCGTAGACTTTATAGATCGACATGAATTGGGTGAGGAAATTCATCTCTCATTGAAATAAGGTCCAGCTGAATTTCTTGTGGATATACCTGGGTTTCCTAATACTGATCCACCAATTCCTGCAAACAAAGCTCCGAAAGATCCATCTAAGCTTAATGTTGATGAGAAGAATCGTGTGAAAGCTAATAAGTTTGCAAGGTCATACTTACTACAAGGCTTAAACAGTGAGATCTACAACAACATTGATAGTCATAATATGGCTAAAAATGCATGTGTGATCAAATTTCTAAGCAAATGACGGGTATACAGATTAGGGCTCAGATCAAGGTAACTAACTGTATCATAAGTTATGAGGATTTTAAATCCAAGGAAGGAGAGACTTTAGAATCTACTTATCACAAATATTGCAATTTACTAAATGAACTGAGAAAGAATGGGATCATGAAAACTAATATTGAGAAAATGTCAAGTTTCTGAATAATTTGAGACATGAGTAGAAGAGCTTTGCTACTAATATCATTTAGAATAAAATTTTATCTGAATTGGATATTCATGTGGTGTATGAAAACATCAAGCAAAACCAGAAAGAGGTTTCAAAGATCTTGGAAGCTCAGAAAAGGAATGCAAAGCCAACTTCAGATCCATTGGCTTTGGTTTTATAAAAGAAGCATCGGTATTCATCTAGGAGTTCAAGACATGATAAGAGTGAGTCCTCAGGTGGTGAGATAGATGAAAGTGAATCTGATTCAGAATTACAGGACTTGAAGCAAACAATGATTCTGTTAACACAGGCTTTTCAGAAGAAATTTCATAAAAAGACGTCCTCTAATAAGCAGATATATTCTTCAAGCTCAAAGAAATATGATGGTAAAAATTTTGATGGGGAAAAGTATGAGAGTAAGAAGTTTGATGGGAAAATGAAGGAAATAAGTCTGAGGAGAAAGTTGTAGATGAGGTTCTGAAGTGTCACAACTGTGAAAAGTTTGGGCATTTTGCTGAAGATTGTTGAAAGCTAGTGGTCAGGAACTCTGAATATTATAAGAACAATATGTTATTAGCCAAGCAGAAGGAAGCAAGAAAGACTTTGATGGCTGAAGACGATCATTGGTTGAACCTCTCGGATGATGATGAAGAGGTTGATGCTCAAGCCAACATGTGCTTCATGGCTAGACAAGAAGAGGAGTATGTTTCAGATGATGATGATGATCGTGGCTCCTGATACTCCGAATCGACATATGAGGTGAACTCTAATCCTTTTAATGACTTTAAGGAACAAATGAATAACATAATGCTCAGAATTCAAGAATTTGAGGAAAACTTGAAAAAGGAGAAAAAGGTGGTTATTCTTTTAGAAACTAAACTGAAAAAGATTATGATATTATTTTATGTATTTCTGATGAGAATGCTCAAAATCTAAGTTTTATCACTTCTCTAGAAGATGAGAAAAAGATTCTTCAGTAACCATACCTACACATTATTACCATATAGGAAATGGAGTACACAGTTGCCTAGGTAATTGTTAATCTTAATATTGCTTACATAATTGCTAGCCTAATTTGTATGGTTTCATTTTGATTTTACTTTGTTAAAACATAATTGCTTAGCCAGATTGTAAAATGATGTACTAAAATTTCAATTTTCGTTCCAACTCAATCCAACTGATACTTTTTATCTTCCAATATCAATGGGGTGATTGTTTCACTCCTGTATCTTCCAAAAAGAGTTTAATTCTAAAACGAAATTAATTTGGTTTGCCTAGTGACATAAGAAAATACAAATTGATCCCACCTAAAATTCTATGAATTCTTTGATAGTTAGAATATGAAATTTATGGTTTTTATTGGTGTAAATCCACTCACCTCAATTCAAACCAAGTAATAACCCCTCATGTGCGAAATTATAGAAGATCCCCTTAGACACTGGAATTATGTCAGCTATATTTATAAAAAAAATTCCAGGGTTGGATTTCATATCCTCTGTTACCTTTTGGGAGCCTACACCCCCTTTAGACTTGTTATCAAGTACCTTGTTCAGAATACCAATTTTAAACATGTTCTTTCCATGATCCCTCTTAATTGAGACAGAAGATCCAATCTCATCGTTTTCTTTTATTTTATGATAACTCAACTAGACCAGAAAGACCCGTGCCCAAAAAGATTGGGTCAATGGATGCATCAACTGATGCGATCAATATCACCCACAAATGGATTCACCCATTGATGCAACCTGTTCATAATTGCTATGAAACGATTTGTAAACTCTTTTGACCACCTAATAATTGCTTATAAACTTCGTTAATCATTTACATTTAATTAGACACTCATTTCCGGTTTTAATGTATGAACCATTACATTTTCTTTAGGTTTATAGCTTTCTTTTCTACTAAAATAGAATGTGAGCATTGAGATTATTCTCAAGGCAAATTTCATGTAACCAAACATAAAATGGTCAAAAAATTGCTTAAGAAAAGTGATCTTACACGATCTCAGATTTTATCTGAAATTTTTGCTATAATTTCTCACAAAACCCACACGTTTTCTTTTTTTTTTTTTTTTTTTTGTTCTAATTTTGATATTTTTGCAATGATAAAATGAAAAATCTTTGAATTCTGAACTTTGTACACCCTAACACGAGATGTAACAACTCACGCTATTATCGATGTTCAGAACAAAACTTTTGAAAGTAAGATTATTCAAAATAGGAATTGAAATTGAAACAAAATGCATCTCATTTTGGTACTTGTCCCTTTATTTTTTTTAATGTTCCAAGATTTTAGATGAACAGAAAGTACTAAGATTTTAGATGAACAAAAAGTACGCGACTATTGCATTTATTAGTGTGAAAACGACAACAAAAATGTAATACCATTAGCTTTGATATTTGAATTATGATTTTGAGTTTATATGGAAGAAAGTTCTCTTAGGAACCCAAGAATCGTCGACAATGTGTCATGTGTCCTTTTTCAGGATGAATATTTATCATGAACAACACATTCATGATGAATATAAAAGTGTTATTCATCATGAATGAATCGCACATATTCATGATGAATTGACATATCATTCATCATGAATCACATATTCATGATGAATGATACAAGGACCAGACCTATTTGGTTGGAACCATCCTTGTGCATCTCTAAACCAAGCGAAATGGTCGTAATTGCTAGTACTAGCAACCGGGTGTTGGACCTGTTAGCAACCAATCAATCTCAACAGATCTTGCCCTATCCCTCCCTTTATCTGTCACAATCATGCTAGTCCTGAGTCCTAACTGGTTTTTCAATCATCATAACAACAAAACAACATGATACGAATATCATATTCACAAAAGATTTGAGATCGAGACAAGACTGTTAAGAGTAATCAATCAATCAAATCCCATGTCAATTGTAATCTCATATAAACTTTGCATATGACACAGCCTTAAAATCCAGAACAACTCCAATGCAACTGTATGGTGTTACCCAAGATGCCCATATACAACTAACAGAATCTACATCTGAAAACCAGACCAAAAAGCGCGAATACACGCTGGACTCCTTGCACAGTTTATCTATTGTACACGTATAGGTTTCAAAGTGAGATCCATTGGAAGGACAAAACAGTAAAATCCAGCATACCAAACAAAGAGGCAGTAGAGCAGGAAAAAGATGCAGCTGACCACAAACTCCTATCGACAATATTCGATGATATTGTGGTTACCTGGTAAAGAATGATGGGATTAACTACAATGGTGTGAGCATAAAGACCCGAGAACCTCATTATATGTTTCATTCTGATTGTATTTCGAATGGTTGAATGTTTCAAGAGTCACTCCAATTATCACTGTCATCATCGTCATCGTCACTTCCAGCAAATGCCTGTAAATGAGACATTAGTTCATGTTATGAACTGCCCAGCTTAAGAGAAAAACCGTAAACGACAAAACCAACTGCCAAAAGAACCCAGGTTTCGGTAAATTTTGTGTTTTCATTCTCGACTTCTCATTGCAAGCAAGCTTTCCTTTTCTTTTCTTTTTTTGTGAAATTGCAAAACTATCAACTTCACAAGAATGAGCACAAGTATGGACTAAAACTACCAAGTTAGAATGTTCTCTTTTTGTTTGTGCATTTCCACATTTTATCTAAAATAACTCGTTCTTGCAAATTTTAGTGTTTTTATATCATTTTATTAAGTATGATTATTATTAGTTGAGAACCTATAGGCAAGTACGATGGTTCAAAAAATCTTGTTCCAAATTTTAACTGCAATTAACCTGTGCGGCTATACCCAGTAATAAAACAGAGAGAAAAATAGACCTGGCGAATTGCATTTGCTTTCTCTAAAATAGCAGCCACCCTCAAATTGGTCTTAGGACCCTGAATGCTTGGCCTGGTCTGGACAGCCGGTTTCAAGTTGAAGGACTAATAGAAATCAAAGAAAAATCGTTACCAAAAAATAAGCAGAAATAAGAACATTTAATCTAGAAACAGGAAAAGGGAAACAAGAGTTTGCCATTTCTTTCTTACCTTGGCCCGTATCTGTTCCAGTATGGCATCACTTTCCTCTCCCTTTGGTATCTGAGGTGTGGCTCGATCTGAGACCTTCCTCAACTGCGTAACGAAATAAGAAATAGAATCATTAATTCACGTAATCTTTTTATCTAAAATTTAGCATTTAGTTGATTATTCAAGAGAAATCAGTATTACTTTGCTTTTGTCATGAGCAGCAACTGCATCAATGAGAGGACTACGTGGTCGCTGTACTTTGATAGGTCGAATAGTATTTGACACTTCATTATCAACAGGTTGAAATGAATACGGGTTTGATGATGGCCAAAAAATTTCCCAGCCAGAAGAAGTTGGAACGCTATGAGAATGCTCCGTTCCAGCTGACATCAAGGTTTCTGCAAATTTTGTTTCTGATGGTACAGATGATTTGTCATGGTCTTCCGTGTGTAAACTAGCCTCAGGTAATAATATTTGGCTGAAACCCCCTGTGTCGCTTCTCAAATCTTTATAAGCATGTTTAGATTTCCGATTTTCTGTATCTGGATTTCTAATTTCATCTAATGTTGGGTGAACCACCACTTGGGGACCTTCATCAGCTTTACATGGAAAGATCGATGGAAAGGGATTGTCACTATGTTGACCACCATCTGTTGGAGTCAACAAAGCATTCTGAGGTTTTCGCATCCTCCATTGCATAGGCGGAAGAGGTGGCAATGGAGGTATATCTTCTGACTTGACTGGAGATAACTGCGGAAGTATGCCAAAACCAGAAAACACTGGAGTTGATTGGTGTTTGACTTGGGCAGAGAGGTTTACCTCTTGACTGTTCATTTGCAACAACTCCAATGTATGCAGTTTTCCAGAAACAGGTACTGAATCAGATTCAGTAGAGGACTGCACGTCTTGTATATGGGTAGACTCATCAGTTGCTACCACCACATTCATAGGTTGCGGGTGTAGATCTTCCTCCTGTACTATACTTTGGGTTGCATTGTTCACTGGATAAGGCTCGGAATGAGTATCAAAATGTTTTTCATGATCTATGTGGGTCAGAGAATCCAACTGGGGTAACATTTGAGATCCCTCAGATGCAAGTGATTGCACATGAAGTTGATCATTAGGCTGGTTGACATTATCTTCCGGAGGAGAAGACTTCGCAGCTTCAAATTTATCGTGATCACCATGGTTTGGAGATTTAGATTCTAAGTCATGGTTGGCTTCTGTGAACACAACTGAGCTGGAAGCACTATCAAGCAACTGTACATTTGAAGGATCACAAGGTGCAATGTTGCCAGGTGGAGAGCTCAAATCACGTAAGATAACTTCTTGAAGTCCATTTTGATCCGTCTCTGCAAGAAAAGAATGACTTTGATCCTGCAAGATTTTTGAATTTAGAGACGGGCTATCAACATCATCATCCAGATCATCACAAGTAGACAGACTAGTGTCGAGAATGCTATCAAGCAATAGATTGTTTGAACTATCATAAGGTGCTGTATCACAGGAAACGTAGTCCAAATCTGGAGAAATAACCAAAAGCTGATCCACTTCCTCCTTTTCTCCAGATTCCTGGGAATTTTGTTCGTTACATAAGTGACTGATAACTGATCGACTCCCATCTGGTTCCTCAAGAGTAGAACAACAATTATCCTCATTTTTGTCGACATCAACTAAGAGAAGAACAGCAGCCCTCTTTTCCACTTCCAAGTTAATAGAGTCTACTTCTCTCGCCTCCAATTCTACATCATCTTCAAGAGTCGAAAGATCGTTCCCTTCATTTATATCAAGATCATCAGGGACAGACACAGGATTACTCCCAACTTTAACTTCCGACTTAACTGATTCTTTTGCTCTCTCCTCTAATTCTGCTTCATCTTTGAGAGCAGAAAGATCATTGCCTCCACTTCTATTTACATCAGCAACATCAGAAACAGCACCAGTCATGAGTTCAATTTTGGCGTTATTTGATTTTGTTTCATCCTCGCTAGAATATGGAACTATAGCTTCTGCCAAATCAGGTATATGCAAAATGTCATCTGCTATTTCTTTAAACTGCTCCTTTGAATATATGTCAGGATTATCAGCAGCCACTTCAGCTACAGGAACATCATCACTGAAAGTGGTGTAACTAGGCTTCACATCTAGATTATCAATGCCACACTCTGCCAAGGAGGTATCAAAAGGCTGCTCATCCGCATGTAAAGTAACTGAATGTGACAAACTACAATGACTGTCAACCGAACCTGTGCTGTGATTATCCTCTTCATGTTCGATTTCATTAACCTCGCTCAAGGAATTTTCACTGATCCTGCAAGTTGTGTCTGAGATGATGGGGAGATGAATCATAGGTCTAGAGCTGTCATTATCAAGCCTATCGTCTACCTCGCCTTCAGGAATTTCAGCAAATGACATTGAAGATGGACTATCAGCTGTTGGAAGAAAGTCTGGTTGCTTACATGTACAGTCGACAGTAACTTCCATATATATTTGATGTTCACCAATTTTTCTAGGACTAGTAAGAGTTTCATTATGGTTTGAGGACATTTCATTCGAATCTGCTTCCTTTGATGTACCTTCTTCCAAAATTGTTACTTGATCGACGTGCAGAGCTGAATCAATTGCTGAACTAACATTTGGCACTTTGCTCGCATCAATGCACGTATCATTTGTGATATTATGGTCCAAATATTGGGTCACCATAATCTTTTCAGCATCGGAGACTTGCTTGGGTGGAACTCTTGGATGAAAAGGAATTTCGGTACATGCAAAGGGTTGAGGAATTTCTGGTGATGCATTTTCAGTTGACATGCTTGTAGTATCAGAATACAAAGATGTAGTTATTCCCTTCCTAATCAAGTTATTCCCGTCATCTGATGCAATCGAGTTCCCTCTCGATTGAGAACCTGATAATTGAGATTGGAATTGATCTATGTTTGCATCAGAATATTCTCCATGATCTACGCTTGGATCAATCTTGGCTCTAAGTTCCGCATTTGTTTCAAGTTGTGACTCCATTGTAGCAAGAGCATCCATGTAATTGTCCGTCTCGCTTGCAACATCATCAGATAGGTAACCATTTTGAAGACCGTCTGTTTTAATTTCCTCAACAACTGCTATTTGTTTCTCATCTACTTCCTCCTCAAGTGTAGATGGGATAATACCTGCTCCCAAGCTTAGGCCTGAAGTTGGCTGCTCTGAAGTCTGCCTTTCAGCTACTTTCCTGGAGAGACTATCTGTGGGATCCCCATAGACGATCTTCTCTGCCCTTGAACTTTGCACTGCCGAACCTAATGCTGAGCCCACCATACTATCCTCAGGTATTTCAAGCCTTGATCCATTAGAGGTATTCGTAGGCAACATCAAAGTTGACAAACAAACAGGTACTTCATGAACAAGTTTATCCTCAGGAGAATTTAACAACTTGTTCATGTAACTTTCTCCACTTTCTAAGTCAAATGGGAGTTTGTTGGGCCTTTTCTTCAGTTTGACTAGACGTGCAGGTTCAATTGCACCATTCTGCACGCGCTCCTCCAGGAATAACTGATGGAGTCTGCATTGCAACTCCAAACAAGTTAGCTTGAAATAGCAGACTTATTTTAAGCAGCATAATTGGATAGATCCATGGAGTGAAAGACATTAATATTAACGTCTTACTTGACATGTGAAAGCTGTGAAACCTCTTGAGTCTCTCCCCCTTTCCATCGTGATCCTTTCTTCTGTTCAATTGATAGATAGTAAAATATGAGAAAGTTGGTAATTTTGGTAAAATGCATCAACCAGGAAAATAAGAGATAAGCATGCCAGCAAAAGACTAACGTAGAAAGAATAGAGTTGCCTATGATACTTTGACCAAAAAAACATAAACTACTTTAAGTGTCACCATTCTAGAAGCCATAACTTGAGGTGTGGCAGGAACTATTTCAGAAATAGAACTTATCTAATTTTTCCTATGAAAAAGGTCACGTAAATATATACATAGCATCACTTTCTATGCTTGGATGGAAACCTCATGCGTAACTACATCATGCAACAAAAGTTGGAATACAACTCCTGGCTAATGTTCTGGGTGCGCATGTTGTTGATTGGTTGTGTTGCTAATATAAGCTACTTGAAGCATATGGCTAAAAAAAATGGCCATGTATAATCTTATAAATAGTATTGTACATGTACACAACTACTCAATGCTGTTATAGATACTGATGGTTAGGATGAAACCCATGGCCTATCGCTGAACAGTAGAGCTGTGTTTTTTCTTCTTTACACATCCCTCTCCAAAATTGCAAGAGCTTTATGCAAAAAATAATAGATACATAAAACCTTGTATTTTGAAAAGAATAAATTATTTGGCTGCCAATGCCTCACATAGTAATGATTATGTCATTTAGCAGAACTTCTTTTGCTACTCAGACACATGAATATGGACCGAGTATGGATGAAGAAAATTTGTAGCCAAATTAACATCAACTCAACATTCATGGATTTTTTTTGTAACCGAATTCATGAGACCCTTATGAGGCTTTCAACACCCAGCCTATTCTGTAACAGCATAGCTAGCTCAAACATTTCCTATGGAATTGGACCATTCTACACAAATCAAACCAAACTAACCCAGTAAATCCCACACGAAGGTAGGGTCTGCGGGGTAGGATGTACGCAGATCTTGCCTCTACCCCCAAGGGGTAGAGACTTTGTATCTGTGAAGATCAGACACTGTTCGACACATTGATAGTAATTTAAAATTAGCTGGACAATCATGATAGATCAACCAATAATTCGGTCAATCATTATAACAACTCGTCCCACATTGATAGAATGTAAGAATTGTTAGCTCCTTATAAGTCTCAAGTAGTGGGCTACCAATAACTTCCACCATGGTTTTAAGTTGGATTCGAAGTTATTGGGCCAGTTCGTTGATTTTGGCTTTGGGGTGTTACAAATGGTATCAGAGCCGATCCTTGTACCATCGGGATGGTGGGGCAAACCTCATCGGGTATGATGAGTCCTCAATAGGGGGTGTTTGTAACATTTTAGGAAAATCCCACATTGCCGATGACAAGGAGAAAGATTCTGGATAAGCCTAATGTCAGGAGTTTAAATGGGGTAGTTTGTAACAACTCGTCCCACATTGATAGAATGTGAGAATTGTTAACTCCTTATAAGTCTCAAGTAGTGGGCTACCAATAACTTCCACCATGGTTTTAAGTTGGATTCGAAGTTATTGGGCCAGTTCGTTGCTTTTCGCTTTGGGGTGTTACAATCATATTCTATTACTATAAATTAATCATAATTGTCAATACATATTACACACTTCAATAAAGTAAAAGAAAAACAAAAGAAAAAGAATCCTTTCTAATTGGATTGATGGGCAATTAAATTAATCAGGATCCTTCTAAATGGTTCAATGACATAGGCTTTCATATTATTGTTTCATCTTAAATGCTTTTTAGTCTATATGTGTTTGGGGAACTGGTTATGCAAGAAATAGGTCGACAAATTATTGATATATCTGTACTAGGTATCTTTAAGTACTCTCAAAATTGGATCCTACCTAAGCAGTAGATACTATAAAATAAAATAGGCATTTTAAATGCATCAAATGCCTCGAAGAAGAATTCAATTGACCTAAAGTAAATAACCTACCTGAGGTAAACTAGTAGAGTACAAGAAAAATAAAAATTAGGCTTTGGACATATCCATAATCTAGATAAACGTTTTCCTCTAAGATTCAAAGTGTGTAATGAAGCTAAACCAAAGTTATCTGAGCATTTAACGAGAGGCAATAATGCAATAAATATCATGTAAACATTAATGTACAAGATATTTTTGCATGCAAGTGTTGCAGGATAACAACACAGAAAAAATAACAAGGAGGATCATGAACAAGTTCCTATTCCCAGCAAATGCAAGCGAAATGATTCTCTTCATCGAACTCACCTTCGTCTTGCGGATCTTTTTATCCCTTTGAGTTTCAGCACTTTCAATTTCAAATGATGATGCTTCCACTTTATAAACTGACGGATCAGTGTAGCGTTTTAAACATGCCCCAGCACCACCAACATCAAATCTGTTGACAGCCACATAAGTTGGTAAATCTGGCAAGTTGTAAGAGGCATGCCAAAACACTTAAGGGGAAAATGATAGCATACTTGTCTAGAAGAAATAATCGAGGTGGACCACGACATTCTTCATAAGAATCCATGACAAACCGTGGTAAATCTCCCGTAGTGATAAGATTATGCGCAGTTTGACGGTTAGGATGCCAATCAATACCTGTAGCATAAATAGAGATCCTCACTGGAATTAGACGAGTGAAGTAAAGCCTTTTTCTTTGCGAAAAAGATTTCACACCATATGGCTGGGCACTGTTATAGTGCCAAACAATGGGTGAGTTCCAGCACCTTGATTTGTTGGAAGGTAACTTTATGATTATGTACTAGAATAAAGGGCATTTATAGACTTATTTGAAGTTAATTTTATGTTTGTATTAAAAGATAGCACACATCCTAAGGTAGCGATTGGTTCAGACATGATTGGACAGGTGATACCGGACAGGACAAGTTGTTTGTCTAATGTTTGGTATGACTAGGACTGGATAGAACAAGATTAGACAAGTTGCCCCTAGAAGTTATTTGATGATTTTATGTATCATATAATAGTTATAAATGACACAAATCAAAAAAATATTTAAATAATTTAATTATAAACATTTTTACACAATTTTCGCATACATAAATACATACATATAAGATAGTACCAAACTTGAATGAAGAATAAGATATAATTGATGGTAGTTGGAAAAAACCCAGTTCATACAAAGGAAAAACTATGTTTTATTCGGTTTGGAAGATCCTTATGAATTGGCGGAGGCACGGTAGAGGTTGTTGCAGCGACAATGGTGGTGATGGTGGCTCATGGACTACAGTGACTTTGGAGGACGTGAAGATAGTGCACAGCAGTGGTGGTGGTGGCGACAGGCAGTGGTGGAGCAGGTAGTTGTGGCCGATGTAGTGGAGGTAAAGGTGTTGGTGGGGGTGGTGGTGGTTATGGTGGAGGTGGCCGACTGTGGTAGTGGTGGCATCGTTGGACAGTGGTGACTGGTGGCCAACAGTGGTTGTGGAGGTGGTGCAGGATGTTGTTGTAGTGTAGGAGGAGGTGGCTGACGGTGGTCGGCAGTGGATACAAGTGGCCGCTGGGGTGGTGGAGGCAATGGGCGGTGGTGACCAATTAAAACAAATACCATATTAGGATTGTATCAAATGGGAGTAGATTAGTCATTTTTTAGTTTATATCCCATCTTGTTCCACCTTTTTGGTGGAACAAAAAGAAGTCTTTTTTGTCCCACCCAATCCCAGTCCCTGTCCCATGTCGCGCCAAACTTGTAACAGTGAATTTTTGTCCTATCCCATCTCGCGCCAAACGTGTAACAATGAGTTTTTGTCCTGTCCCATGTCTCACCAAACGTGGGACAGTGAGTTTTGTCTTGTCATGTCCAGTTCCATGTACCAAACACAGTAAAGGATCATATCAGTAGCAATAGCAGCAGAACAATATATGAGGTAACACCTGCAAGATAATATGAAATGTGAAAATCTAGGAGCAAATATCTGACCTGAATTGGGAAAAAAAATTGAATGTCGTGTTTGGGACAGAAATGCCCTTTCAATTGAAGGGAATTCCGACTCAAGCTGCTGAACGCGTGCCAGTAGACCATGGCCCCTAGCAGCAGTTGCCATCACTTCTTCATGCAAGTCATGGAAAATCTCAGCAGCGAACCTTCAGAAGTGGATGCAAGCTTTTGTTAGACTTGTAGCATAATATCAAAAGACTGTACATCAGAATATAAAATTCGAGCTCAACAGCTCTAAAACGTCATCAGGCTGTCAGTCCTTGCTGGGACACCATCCTAAAAAGACCCAAGTCCAGGATTGTTCACTATACAAAGAATCCTGCTATTTCTTTATATTGCTAAGTCTTGTATAAGTTATCCCAATGTATTTCATAATTTTGACAATGATGCTTGTAACGAGTGGACACTAGAAGTTCCTTACTAATTGCAGCATCTACAGTGTCTTGACATCCATATATGAAATAGAAAGATATATCCAACTATTTGCAGCGATAATACGCAATAGATTTTTTTGATATCATGGACTGCCACCAAAAAATGCCAGTGCATCACAGGTGACAAGGCACCTAACAAAATGTCTTTCTGGGACCAAGTGGATATCTATGACCATTCGAATTTTACTTTGACCAATAATATTCTGACGGTCCTAAATCAAATTAAAATCTCTGGAATGAAAAACATGTCTATAGGGAATGTGCTCACTAGGTAGTTAGGCTCCAGGATTTCTGTTTAGTCTTCCAGTATCAAAAGGGGAGTGCACGCTATCTGTAATACATAGTAGTAATTGTTTCTGACAAGTAAATCTTCAGTAATCCATTGCACAACTATTACATTCTTGGGTTGACGTTAGACCCTTCACCACATTTCTTCTGGTGTGGAATCCTGACAGCTTCTCTCTTAAAATGATCTAGGTAAGATTAACAGTAACATATTTCGAACCTAAGCCACCACACCCATAATCATACTAATTCTAATGTGAGTACAATCTCAAAAATAATTATGATTTGCTGCAAGTCTAATGCAAATTTGTACTACTACCTACAAAGGCTAGAATCAGGAATCCTGTGGAAGGAGACGCAGGGATAATTTCCCCTTGTGCAGTTCTCCATGAGAGTGCTCTAATGCATCTGAATTGTGACTGGTTCTTCATCCTAAGGCCTGCCTTGCAAATTGGGCCAAGCTGCATGATGCTAAACATGGAGGTCTAAGGACTGATGCACTATGTATTTACCTTGAAAATTGCTTCCATATAGTCTACAATCCTCAATTATAGATCACAAATTTGAAGAAGACTAGAGTTTTCAATCAAAGTGTTTGAATGCTAATGAGTCGAGTAGTCACAGATGCCAGCTTGCAGATTGGGTCAAGCTACAGGATGCTAAACATGGAGAGGTATATGGGTTGATGTACTATGTGTTTACCTTGAAAATCGCTCAAGTCTACACCACCAGATAGTAGATCCCAAGTTTGGACAAGACCTTCCTATATTGTTAGGAACTGAAAAGGAAAAGAATGCGTTACAATTTATAACAGTTGGTCCAACTTGGTTATTTTAGGAACCAATATCACATAGATCGTCTTTGGCATTAATACAATTTTCCTTATTGTAGCATACAGATGATGACGGTCTACTCTGGATGTTCCATATCCGCTGCATTCACTTTGCTTGTAAGACCACTTTTTGGTGCTTTCTTAAAATTACAATACGGCAACCTTACAATCCAAGGAGCATGCTTCACAATCATGTTAATAAAATTTTCACATGAAAAAGCATAGCTTGTACCATAAAGCCAAAAAGGCCTTGTCTTCTCATCAGGTATGACTAATTAGCATATATGATAGGAACTGAAATATGTTGGTCTGCTTTTGAGAGGCAGCAGTCTCTCCCAAAGATGCTTAATTGTACCCCAGAATCTGTATCAAATCAAGCTTCTTCTAAACCCTACTTATGGTGTTTCTTAATCATGGATATACTATTTTTGTATATTTCAGTTATCAAAATAATATCGTTGCCTATTTTGATTATAAAAATACTGTTGTTGCCTATTTAACTAATTAACCCTAGATGTAAAGTCACATGGGGTGGTTCTAACTTCTAATAATATATTGCTAAATCCAAGAAAAAGATACAAACACTACTAGGCTCCCCATTTGGTTGGGGATTTCTGTTATGCATGCTTTTCCAGCAACCTTAACCGCTTAGCAAGTTCACAAAATGTTAAATTATGAAACAAAAAATGTTCATTATCATCCTTAGTGAAGTTGCCAAGGTTTATTCACAGCGCAAAATATTATTGCTCTTTTTCATGATCAGAAAATGGTCTTCAAAGTAGGAAACCATGCCAAGGAAGTGGAGTTCAAAAGCACATATCTTAGTTGACCCAATTTTGTAACAGTTGAATACTTAAACCTGAAACCAACAAAATTTCTAGCAGTACCCTCATTTCTGCCCATCCACACAGGAAAGGAGAAAACAAAATATTGGAAGCTGCTCTACTAGCTGAAAAACTGATGTATGCTCATTAGAATGTTATCTTCCATCTTTGTTAGAGTGGTCTATCAACCAATCTTGATTCCCCAATCTACACAATAACCCAAATGTTAATTCAGTTAAGCAATATACAAGCATCATTTATATTACTCGCCTATTTTAATACACACATCCTAACTTATATATCAAACAGATGATTGTTTCCATCATAAACCCCTGATGTCATCAACCAGTTCCATAACTACATACTTCCAAACATGGAATCCTGAAGTTTTAAATCAAGAATTGATTTGATGCAATAGATTAGCTGAAGGCATAAATACTACGGTCAAATTGTGTTGATTTGGTTCACTAGGTTATGTATTGTCAAGACATGAAATCCATGACATAAGATCACTTGTCATTAGGATCATGAAATTCGAGATTTAGAATTATAATTGAAGCGCATTTAGTTCAAATCCACTGTTACTTTGCATCAACTCGAATTACTTAAAAATCAACCCTTCGGAATCGGAAGTGAAAAAAATGAGTTCAAGTTTCGAGATAATTGAGCTACAATCCCAATTTAATACCTCCAATGCCATGGTCCTATTTTCCTACCTTAACGAACACCAACATACGAGATAAAACAAATATAGCAAAAAGTGAAAGGGAAAAAGAATAGCAAGTACTGACTCTGCTAGGTCACCGAGCTGACGGAGAACGCCAACAAGACCGGCCATGGCAACACCTTCAAGCAAAGCTTCGGGATCATCTTTATCAGCTGCTTTGTAAAGCTCCGGATCAGCCAAACTGTACACATTTCTTATCTGATATCTGTTTATCGGCATTTCTTCCGATTCCCAGAAATCAGTTCCACACAATCTCGATAATCATAATCAATCTCTATCTGTGCATCTATATTTATACATCATTGCATTGCTCAATTTTTACACTGCATCCCAATTAACAGTCGTTCAAAAATGTTTTGAACACCAAAAAGAATTTCTAGAGAGAGAAAGCGGAGTGAATGAATACAGCTCTGAGAGAGAGACGACGACGGATGACTCGGTGGAAACTGTATTTATTACTCAAAGGTGTATTATCTTTTTATGTCCTTGTACTTTTGTGTATTGTCATATGAACCCCTAAAAGTTTTTATTTTTGTGTTTTGTTTGAATAACGGGAGAAAAGTCCAAAAAAAACCCAATAAACTTTCTGGTTTCTAGAACATTTTTTAAACAAATAAATCTGTGGACATTATGAACCCTATTAATCAGGTCCTTCTTACCTAAATAATGACTTGTTACCTACATTTCAAGTAAAAATAAGATTAAAGAAAAAAAAAAAACTAAAGTTATCCTAAAACTCTATAAAATTTGATTATTCACTCTACCTCTCAAATCAATCGTAGTCGCTTGTATTACTCTTAATCTCCACGAACAAGAACCATAATTATTGGGGTCATCTCAAATATTTGACGGTTTTTTTCCTTTATGTGAAATATATGTGATTTCAATAAATGGATCAAGAATCATAAATGGATGAAAAACAACAAAGACAAAAGGGGCATCATTAGACAAAGGAGTTCATTAACAGCTTAACACCCATTATTGTTTCAACTCAACGACTAATCCCCCTTCTTTAAAGCTTTCTTGGTCCCTATAATTGTCGTGTGTCCACTTAATATCTCTGGATGGTATCAGTTGCAGGTTCTCAATCGGCCTCCCTTCCTTGTTTTTCACTACAAACTCTAAATTTGTAAAATTTACCACAAGATGTTACTCTCTTTTGCCATTGAATCTGATTGTGTGAGGTATTAACTGATTTATTATGTCTTTACTAGAAAAAAATTGTGTGTATTCTTGTATTCTATGTGTTTGTAACACTAGCTATGATAACTGGGTTTTGATTATCACCTGAGGTAAATTATTATGTGATTATTTGATATGTAATTACGTGAATATGTGATTAATTGTTATAATTTATCACCTGGATACATGCTTACATGAGATTAATATGTGAGTATTTGTATATTTTTCATGCATAAAAATGTATGCATGATTTAGGTGTATGCATATGTTGTGTGTGAATATGGATTTAGTCCATAATATATGTGTGTGCATGAGGTTTTGTTGTTTAACCGTCTTTCCCTTAATGGAAAGGTATAAATAGGGGGTTTGAGGGAAGGCAAATTTTCTTGCCTTTCTTGGAAAGAATTGACATAGAGGAGTTGTAGTGAGTTTTCATTCTAAGTCTGGAATTGAGGTCAATTTTGGTAGCTGTTTTCATATTGCTATTTCATCTTCAACTTTTGAAATTGCATAAGGTGAGTATTCAGCAAAAACATCCTTTACATATGTTTTGATAACTAGTTTGGAATTTTGATATGATGATGTATTAAAAATGTTGCATTTGTTCTTGATACCTTCAATGATCGAATTAAGTCTATTCACCGGCCACTAAGTTGACCGGATTGTAAGTGTCTGTCTGATCACTATGTTGTCTGGATTAAGTGTTAGAATGTTATTGAAGTTTGTATCCGGACATCATATAGTCTGGAGGGGGTATGTCCGGTCATTGATGACAGATAAGAATTTTATATCCGGACACCTTGCTGTTCGATGAAGGTATACCCGACCGAGTATTGTCCTGATTAAGGGTTGTGTTCGATCGTCTTGTATGAGTCTGAATTCTATCATGTTTGGAGAAAAGTGTATGACCGAATAGAGTGTTCTTGTTTTAATGTTAAGAATTGTCCGGATGAGAGTGTCCAGCTAAGTGTTGTCCGGATAGACTTGTCCGGACATGTATTGTCCGGATATGAGAAGCTTAATGTGATTATTATTGAACTTGAGTTTTGATGAATGGGATTTCTCATAATTAACATTTATTTGGGTTTAAATTTGTTATTGTGAAAAGATGTATTTTATATCTTTTAAAATGGAAAAGATAATGTTTCTACCAGACGTGGTGACATAAGTCTGTTCTGATTTGAAACTGTATTTTGGAAAATGTTTCTACCAGATGTGGTAACATAAGTCTGTTCTGGAATAAAACTTTGTTTTAAGAGGTAGTTCCCCCAGACGTGGTGGCATTTTTCTGTTAAGGCTTGGAACTGGGTGTTGGGTACTTCCAGATGTGGTGACGTAAGTCTGTTCTGGTAAAAAAAATCATATTTTAACGAAGAAATAAGGATGACATATCAAGGAGAGGTGCACCTATGGTTATAAGGGTGGCAATTTCAGGTGTGGTTATTAATATAACTCTTGTTATTGTCGCTAATTAGATACAATAAGTCTAAATCAATATTTCTTTGTGACTTAATGATTTAGAGGTATTGTTCTCTTTAGAAATAATTACTTTGATGTTATTGAAAAGAGGAAAATGATTTGTCATCAGAGGCTTTCATTGCCTAAAGTTTTCTATCAAATTTTAACATATGCAGAGAGGCTCTGGTTGGTCTTTTAGCAGGACCAGAGAATCTCTGATTGGTCTTTTAGCAGGACTAGAGAATCTCTGATTATGAAAAAAGACTTTTTAATTATTTTGGAAATTTTATAACCAGAAGCTCTATATGTTTCATATTGAAGCTCTGTATCTTGAAAATAGTTATTTCTTATTATCTGAAGCTCTGTACCTGAGCTCTGTGTCTGAACTCTATATTTGAGTTCTGTCTTTTAAAATTTATCTTTCTTCAAAAATATTTATAATTAGAATTAAGAGTCGGAGGATCTCTGGATAGGTATTGTTTCACATAGATGTAGAGGCTCTAGTTATCAAAGGCATAAAAAGCTCTGGCCCATTGAACCAGAAGAAATTATAGCAACTCTATTAAGGGAATAAAAGTTCCAATGTGTTGCATTTATGATATGTGTTGTGGAAACCTATTGGCTTTATATTTTAATTATCAACGGATTGCATGTCTTCACTGAAATGCATTTATCTCTACATAAAATATGTTTTATCAGGTTTTGGTGATTTTCACCCTACATTTGCAAAGAAGGGATTTACTCACTAGACCTTCTGGTCTAACCCTCATTTTGTGTTTCAAGAATGTGCATTGCAGGATCTGCGGGGTCGCGGGATAATAATGGGAAGGGAAAAATGTAATTATTTACCTTATATGTTATTTGCCTTATGATGAACAGCTTGATGCTTGTATATTTTGAAGATACATGTTGCTATACATGTGATAGTGCAGGGATATTATTTTGAAAATTTTCATATGTAAATTCTGTACATATAGAATCCTTGTACTAGTGGGACCTATGTGGTGTAATGTATATTTCTTTTATATAAAATATATGTTATATGCAAATGTGGAGTTTGGGGTGTTATAGAAGGTGGTATCAGATTCTGAGTTTAAGAGATTTAGGTATTCAAAGCATGATGCCTAGACTTAAACTGTTGTTTGCATATTAAGGGTCCCGGACATAGATAGTATCATTGGGAATAAATATAATGGGTTAAAGAAGGCAGTATGTAAGATAAATTCGAATTACAAATGGCCAATGTAATTATGAATTTACAGGTACATATCTATATTCAGACACCTTATTATATTTGGAAATGTGAATATGTGATATTTAATATTAAAATATCTGCAGATGACCAATCATCAAGAAGGTCGAAAGTATTGCCCTCCCCAATCCAGAAGAAAGAGATGAATCTCATGTTAATGCTCCAACTAATGTTTCTGGGAGTCGAAGCAGGGGATGAATTCGGGGTAGAGGCCAAGGGAGGAGTCAGACTCAAGGAAGAAGTCAAACAGAGGTTCATCCCGATTAAGGAGAATCCATTTCGGGAAATATCAATCAAGAGCATGGGTCTCAACCATAATATATAACCAGGGACATTCTGGTTGAAGAAATGGTCAAATTAAGAGAAACTCTGGTATCTATCATGGGACTACCATCCAAGGTAGAAACTGAGCGAGTTGGAATTAATGCTCCAGCTCCACCTTCAAGCAGTAATAAAGGGGGGAGGGGTATAAAAATGTTTCTAACTTGCAAACCCCCAACATTTTCAGGAGAGAGAGATCTAGTGAAGGCAATGTGCTGGATTAAAGAAATTGAATCAGTGTTTAACACCAGTAGATGTTCTGAGGAAGATAAAGTTAGACTTGCAGTCTCCATGTTAAAATCTATAGCGTTATACTGGTCGAATATAGAATATGTGGCTTAGCCAAATATTCTGCAAACTATGTCTTAGGAGGAATTTGTAATTAGATTCAAAAATCAATTTGTCCTAAGACTACAGTGAGGCTGATGGAAGAAGATTTCTTGAAGTTAGAACAAGGTAACAGGTCTGTGCGGGATTATACTGAGAAGTTTATTGAATATTCCCGATTTGCAGAACATTACATTTCTTCTGAATCCAGAAAAGTAGAAAGGTATATTTAGGGTTTGAAACCCTCCATCAGAGAATTCGTAATTGCTATGGATCCTGCTACCTTTTCTTTAGCTGTGAATGTCGCTTAAGTAACAGAGAGGAACTAGAATAGACAGGGTGAAGAAAGAGTGGTGGAGAAATGAAGATGGGAGGGGTCTTCAGCCAGTTTTCAAAGACCCAAATTCATAAAAACAAATAATCGCCCTCCTCAACAACCATATGCTAGAGCCTGTCCACGATGTCAACAGGTGCATCAGGGAAATTGTCAACCTGATCCAAAGAGATGTTATCGATGTGGCGAGGCAGGTCATCTATCGAGGGATTGCACCATACCAAAAAGATGTTCTCAGTGCAATTCGCCTGATCATATTCAACTGAACTGTCCCTAGTTGAGAGTCCCTCGTCTAACAATGGGAGGAAATACCCCAACTGCTCGTGGCAGGCCTAGTGCACCGAGGGGAGAACAAAGTGGGGCGAAGGGCCGATCATTTCAGATGATGAGAAGTGAGGCCAAAACAACACCAGATGTGGTAACAGGTACTTTTCTTGTTAATTCTATATATGCTAAAGTGCTTTTTGATTCTGGTGTGAACTTTTCTTTCGTATCACCATCATTTGC